CTTCTTCCAATCTGCTTTTATCTCGATGGGGAAGAGAATCCAAGACATAATTGACCTCAGTTCCTGTTGCTGATGGGATGGAATGTATCTCTTTTTGTAAATATTTATTATTAATAGGTTATTATGTCTACCTCATTGCTTACTTATGAATTTGTCTTGTTTCCAGATGATAGGCCTTAAAGTGTCAGCATATCTTGAGATACTCCCTCATCCCCACATGCCTACCTGCTCTTAATAAATTCCATAGACAGATTTAATAGATTCCATAGCTGTAGTTACATTCCTTGGCAATTCACCAATATGCCAGTTCAAAGTGACAGGATGGGTGGATAGGGGCTTTGAAAGTTAATTGGCAATATTGAGGACAAGGTATGTGGTATAACATTAAAGTTGCACACTATAATGCATAAAATGTGCACTGGATGAGCAATATGCTAAAATATAAATAAAGAAAAAATATCCTACCTAAGTACAGACCACACTTTATTCTTTGGCTTCAAAGATGAAGTAGGTAGAAAGCTCAGGCCACCAAACAAAAGTTATTTCTTAGCTTCCCACATTGCATCTTGATTCAAAGCACTGATTTAAACACACTGGAGTCCACAATTTGCCTGTCTAATCATTCACTGAACTGTCTTCCATATCATGCCCACCAACCTCAACAGGAAAATATCCAAGATGATTTTATTGTGATAATAATATGCATCAAAATAATAATAATAATAATAATAATAATAATAATAATAATAATAATAATACACCTGCAACATAACACCCCAGACTTAACAATTGTCGATAAGAAAGACAAAAAAGTCTGGATAGTGGATGTGGCAGTGCCTGGAGATAGCAGAATAGAAGAGAAAGAACTGGAGAAGATAACAAAATACAAAGACCTACAAATAGAAATAGAAAGACTGGGGCAAAAGCAAGCAAGGGTAGTACCAATAGTCATAGGCTCCTTGGGCGCAATCCCAAAACAACTGGAGCACCACTTGAACACCATTGGCAGTGACAAATTTGCTAGTAGTCAATTGCAAAAGGCGGCCTTATTAGGAACTGCTTCCATCCTGCGACGATACCTGTAATACCATCAAACATCTACATCTGACTATCCCAGGTCCTGGGTAAGGACTCGATAGGTAGACAAAATGCCAAATCCAGTCTGAACATCTGGCTGACTGTGCGATGATTGAGAATAATAATAATAATAATATAGCCAAGATATTGTAATGGAGTTTGGCTTGGACAAATGTGCCACACTTACTATCAAATAAGGAAAAGTAGTGAAAACTGAAGGAATCAAGATGCCCCACGAAAATAACATTAAGAGTCTGGATGAAGAAAATTACTACAAATACTTGGGTATCCTTCAAGCTGACAACATCAAGCACACTGAAGTCAAGAAAAAGATTAGAGGTGAATACATCAAGAGAGTAAAGAAGATCTTAAAGTCCAAACTCAATGGAGGAAATACCATAAAGGCAATCAACACTTGGGCAATTCCAGTCATTAGATACATAGCTGGAATAGTGAACTGGACTCAAGCAGAACTAAAAGCAATGGATAGGAAGACCAGAAAAATAATGACAATGAATCATGCCCTTTATCCACGCAGTGACATTGACAGACTTTATCTACCAAGGCAAATAGGTGGGCGTGGAATGCTACAAGTACATCAGATGGTTGAAGAAGAAAAAATAGCTTTGGAAGAATATCTGAAGAACAATGGTGAAGATGCACTGAAATTAGTATATCAGGAAGGCTTACTGACTACTGGAGAGACCAAACAGGCCTACAAGAAAGACCAAATGAAGAACAGAATAGAGGCATGGCAAGACAAAGCACTACATGGCCAATATGTTAAAAAAATAGTTGGGAAAGCAGATAATAACAAGACCTGGCAATGGCTAAGAGCAGGAAAATTGAAGAAAGAGACCGAGGGACTAATTCTGGCTGCATAAGACCAAGCCTTAAGGACAAATGCATACAAAGTCAAAATTGAGAAGACAGCAACAGACAGTAAGTGTCGCCTATGCAAAGAAGCTGAAGAAACAGTGGACCACTTGGTAAGCTGTTGCAAGAAGATTGCACAAACTGATTACAAGCAGCGGCATGACAAAGTAGCAACAATGGTTCATTGGAAGATCTGCAAAAAATATCATTTGCCTGTAAGCAAAAACTGGTGGGATCATAAAATAGAGAAAGTCATAGAAAAATGATAAAATTAAACTGCTCTGGGACTTCAGAATTCAAACAGACAAGCACCTGCAACATAACACCCCAGACTTAACAATTGTCGATATAAGAAAGACAAAAAAGTCTGGATAGTGGACGTGGCAGTGCCTGGAGACAGCAGAATAGACGAGAAAGAACTGGAGAAGATAACAAAATACAAAGACGTACAAATAGAAATAGAAAGACTGTGGCAAAAGCAAGCAAGGGTAGTACCAATAGTAATAGGCTCCTTGGGTGCAATCCCAAAACAACTGGAGTACCACTTGAACACCATTGGCATTGACAAATTCGCTTTTAGTCAATTGCAAAAGGTGGCCTTACTAGGAACTGCTTCCATCCTGTGACGATACCTGTAATACCATCAAACATCCACATCTGCCTATCCCAGATCCTGCGTAAGGACTCGATAGGTAGACAAAATGCCAAATCCAGTCTGAACATCTGGCTGACTGTGCCGTGATCAATAATAATAATAATAATAATAATAATAATAATAATAAGAAGAAGAAGAAGAAGAAGAAGAAGAAGAAGAAGAAGAAGAAGAAGAAGAAGAAGAAGAAGAAGAAGAAGAAGAAGAAGAAGAAGAAGAAGAAGAAGAAGAAGAAGAAGAAGTTGGAAGGGACCTTGGATGTCATCTAGTCTAACCCCTTGCTCAGGTAGAAAACCCTATACCATTTCAGACAAATGGCTGTCCAGTCTCTTAAAAACTTCCAGTGTTGGAGCATTCACAACTTCTGGGGGCAGGTTATTCCACTGATTAATTGTTCTGTCAGGAAATTTCTCCTTAGTTCTAGGTTGTTTCTCTCTTTGATTAGTTTCCATCCGTTGCTTCTTGTCCTGCCTTCAGATGTTTTGGAGAATAGCACCTGGAGAATACATGACTTTTAATATAATAAAATAAAATGTCAGAATTCATTTCTTTAGAATATTTTTTAACCTTTTTTATATTAGCATTTACTTAACTGAAGAGGCATTATTTTGAAGTACCTTAACTAGAGAAAGATATTAAAAACATTGATCAACTAGGTTTAAAATAACACTACAGGAGATTATTTGTAGCTCAGGGTTGACATGAGGGATCCCTAGTGCTCTCTGAGCTTGCTCGTTTTCTTGCAGATGTTTCATTATCCTAACTAGGTAACATCATCAGTGCTAGTAAGCAGTGCAGTTTGCTGTCAGTTTCTATTCTGGTGGCTTGCCCTGTCAGTGTTGGTGGGGGTGGTCTTAGAGATTCTTTGATTGGGCTGTTTGCTGTTGGCTTCTTTGGCAGTTTCTTGACTGGGGTATTGTTTACTTGATTGTTGGTCTGATGTTAACCCTGGAGTTAATCTATGCTGATCTGGGTGCTGATTGCTGGTGGAGAGGTGCTTGGGTCTTCTTGTTCCTTTTTGGGCTGAGAGCACCAAGGACCCCTCATTAAAATAACACTGCTACATATTTTCTGTATGGTTCCATTATTTTATTATTTTATTTCAATACTTTATTTTTTATTATTTTATGTCAATATTCTTCTACAATTTGTCTTTTGAGAACAAGACATTTCCAAGGCATGTTTGTTTGATTTCAGTTATGTTAAAGCAGTTTCTTACTATACCCAGCATAGAGTGGGGCACATTGGTTGCATTCCTTTATTGGAAATAAGAAGTGGAAATATTAACCTATATCTTATCTCCACAGGCCATTGTGCGCAATAGGATACATGTGTGTTTTTTCCTGGAGTTGAAAGGGAGAGAATCTATCCTACATTTGTCAAGCTAAAGTTCATGGTCAGTGTTCAAAAGCTTCAGTCCCTCTGAATCGAATAGAAATATATAAAAAAAGACAGTTCTACTACATATATAAATTTAGTGGCTAGGATCTTGACTCAATCTTTTGCATTTTATTAGTAATAAAAACTCATGAATAGAATTACATAAAAATAATCTACTAAATATTATTAATTGTTAACATGCTCAAAACTTTTCTGAAATGCTTTGGGTATTTTGTCCAAGAATGCATGTCTAAAGTAGCTTCAACTTTCTTTTAAATGAGTTTAATGCTAATACTCTATTGCTACTTAATTATATCCATAGCAGCATTTTCATCCATATGCTATGAGAATTGATGGCTAACCTATGATTCCTGAATATTTTTGCAACTTGAGAACCCTGTCAAATTCTTCTAGTGAACTTCAAGCTGTGCCATTTTCAAGCATTTTGAGGAAGGAATTACATTTAAAAAGTGATTTAAACTGTAAAATAGGTTAGAACAGTTTAAAAAAAACAAAGAATACCCCTCCCCACCAACCTTTCCCAAGAACAGAAAAGTTGACCTTTCCACATATATAAATCCATTCCACTCATTTTATTCATTGCCTGTGATTCTTGCCAAAAGTGAAGTGTTATCCATAGGTACCAGAAGGTTTCCTATAAGAGATATGGTTGTTTTATCTTGTTTTGCAATCTTTCAAAAATTCCACACTTACCTTCATTTTGCTTGAAATCATTTTGAATTAAGCACTAATTACCTGAAACATATTTGAGAAATATCGCATGTTTGTTCAATTCTACAAAAGCATAAATAATATCATATTTCATACTTTTATTATTGTTCTATAGAACTTTCTATCAATTTCTGACAAACCTTTAGTGTTACAGATATAGTAGTTATTGACCACTAGGAGGTCTCCAAATGGTGGCACATAAGTTTCAAATAATCTTTCATCAACATCATGTACTTAAGTTACCAAATGCTTTATTGATATGAAATATACCTTCGTATAGTAGCAAATTTAAAAATTCTCTAGACAACAATTCCAAGATAGCTCACAAGAGTAGGCAGTAGGCAAAATGTACCATTCATTGATCAAATAAAGTTATCATGCAAGTTTGATTTCAAAAATGTTAATTTGCCTGTCTTTACACTCGAAGTTTTCTATATGAAAAAAAAATGAAAAAGTTTTCAAATAAACTTCCCAAACAGTACATTAAAGCTCTGAAAATGCATTTTGGACACACACACACACACTAATATTAGAATAATTATTCAATTTAAGTATATTAAGCTTAAAATAATTTAAGTTCAGTTTAATTATCAGATATTTGTTTAGATATTTTAGCATATTTTTTATTAAAGCTTTTTAAACACAAACGTAAAAGCTAACACAAAGTAATAGAAAAGAAAAAAGAAAAAGAAAAAAGTGCAAGAAAAGAAAAAAGTTAGAGAAAAATAGAAAAAAGAAAAAAATATAAAATTATACTTTCTTTGTGTATCAAGTACAAGTTGTGTATCATATACAAAAACAAACAAAACCAAGTTCCATGACTTTTTTCCAACTGTTTGTTCATCAGGCCCAAGAGAAGACTTCTGGTCTCAATTGTACATTAATCTTTAAAATCCTGTCAATCAGTGAATACCTTTTAGCAATTTTGTTTCAAAATCAGTCTTGCCATAAACTTTTTCTCTACTGTAAATCTTTCTGATAGGTGTAAATAAGAAAACCAGTGGCACCTATATTCTTCTGCCACAAGTTGTTCTCTTGATTTTATTTTGTATTCCCTTGACAAATGGCTAATAAAGTTCCTTTCCTTTGCCTCTTATAATATCTTATGATTAACTTTTTTCCCCTTGATAAACAAACTTAGATATATCCTGTTGCTACTATTTAAGAAGTTCATCAGTTGTCAAAACAGGTATTGTCTAAAACAAAAACATCATTCTAGGCAAGACGTTCATTAGCAGTCCTTGGTGCTCTCTAAGCTTGCTTGTTTTCTTGCAGACATTTCATTATCCAAACTAGGCAGCATCATCTAATAAGGAGTGCAGTTTGGTGTCAGTTTATATTCTGTTGGCTTGGCTGTCAGTGTTGGTGGGGCTGGTCTTAGAGATTCTTTGGTTTGACTGTTTGCTGTTGGCTTCTTTGGCTTCCAATTTGATGGACAAATTTACCAAAAAATTAAAGGGATACCTATGGGATCACATCTTTCAGGACTTATAGCAGAAGTCATCATGCAATTTATAGAAGCCATAGCACTTCCACAAATACAACCAAAAATATGAATCAGATATGTAGACGACACCTTCACCATAATAAAAAAGGACCAGTTAGAGAACACCCACAGAACCATCAATAACAGTTTTAAAGGAATCCAGTTTATTAGAGAAGAAAAAAACAACTACTCACTACCCTTCCTAGAGATCCTGATCATCAGGGACCACAATGGCAAACTAGAAATGCAAGTCTACAGAAAAACCACCCATACTAACCAGATGCTCCACTACTAAAGCAACAACACAACCTCCTGCAAGAAAACTGCATAAGAACTTTATTTGGATGAACCTAAACATACTGCAGCAACCTAGAACAGCAAAAAAAGGCAATAGAGCATCTATACAACATATTCCAACAAAACAGATATCCACACAACTTTATCAAAAAGTCCCTGACCACTCAACCCAATACAGTACAATCAACACAAACAAAAGAATTACACTGCCATACATCAGGAATATCTCAGAAACTACCAACAGACCATTACAACCCTGTGAAATGAGCATATACAGCAGAGAATTCCATGTTATGCAAAATAATAGTAACATTAATATTAATTTTAGTTAGTTAGTTATTAATTAGCATTAAAATTAATATAGAGCAGCATGACATGGTGGCCTAGTGGTGAAGATGTTCATCTCCCGCTTGGAAGGTTGAGAGTTCAATCATAGATAGCTGATGTTTCTCTCCTAGGGCACAAAGGAAAAAATATCAGCTGTGAATTCCATGTAGACAGGAATGGCATCCAGCCAGTAAACACTTAGCTCCATTCAGTTGCCCAGACTCCACCCCAATAAAAAGAATTATGAAGTCGTAAAAAGAGAGTAGCAGCACTAATATAATGTGTAATCAGGTGATATTATGAAATGCAGATGAACTTTAGAGAATAGAGTTTTGTATAAGTATCACTGTGTAGAAGAGTATGTAATTAGGGATGCAGCCTACACAATAGGTTTTTCAACCAGTTTTCTCTTTGGTGAACCAAAAACCCTTTTAAATGTCATCAGTTTTCTGACATATTCATATCACTAGAATAACTGATCCTCTCCCAGAAGAATTGAATAAAATGTCTGTGACCGGGTAGGATAAATTCATCTATGACCAGTTCCAAATCAATGTCATTTGGACAGTTTCACTAAGAAGTGCTTTGCAGAGAGATTCCTTATCTTTTCTCTACATTTGCTGAGTTGGTGTGAGCCTTCTTTTCTTCCCTTGCTTTATGCAATATAATTTCATTCATTTCTCTTAGTTCATTAATTCATACAAATCCCTCCATATCTCTCTTGCACAATTAACACATATAATGAAATGCTCTCTCTGCAGCCAATAAATAGATAGTTTGGATTGTAAGGCTTTGGCATATTTATTTAAAGTAAACTTTCTTTTATTCAATGATGCTTACTTTTCAGTAAATGTATATAGAAAGCACAGATGCATATAATAAATTTATTATGTTCTTTAATCTAATAAAATCCATATGGCAATTTAAATCATGGTTGATAAACGTATCAGTGTTATCACCAATGAGATAATAAAAATAAGAAACTGGATTTGCTCATTGTGCGTTAGCCTATTTTACAACAAAGTTATGGAAATGTTTTTGAAAACACATGAAATATTCTGCTTCAGAACTGTATAGCATTAATTTAGGCCATGTGTCACTTAGCAAACACCAAAAGCTGCAAGTGGCAGTAAGGGGACAGATGTTAATTGAATTGCTGTGCTGTTATCAGAGAAAATAGCTACCAGTAGAAACAAGATGGCTGCCCCAGACATGCCCTCCTCAAGTTAGAATATTGTATCCTTCGCTCTGCAAGGGCTTCTGGGTTAGGAGGAAATCATACACAGATGACTAATATTTTTATGGTTCACAGCCAAGCAAAGTGAAATTCAGCAGCTGTTCAGGACAAGTGACCACTCTAACGGCTGCAATATAACTAGCTAAACAGAGAGGGAATTGCAAGAGAGCAAGAGGTTAGTGGTGATTATCGGCAGGTGAGTGCTTTATTGAAGTTGAAAGACCATTAACATTGATGGAGTAATTATTTCAACTTGAAAGTAATTACCTTGATGGGTGATAACTTCTCCAGTGTTCCCAGACTGTATTGGGCTAAACAACTGTGAACTCCTGAAGCCTAGAAAAACATTACAGCAATACTGCAATGTTTAAATGGATAACATTTCTGTTTAAGTATTTTAACTTGACTAACTGTAGGGAGAACAAATTCTTATAGAGGGAGACCTTTATTTTCTCAATCATATGAAATGTCCCCTCCTATACATGCTTCCCAGATTATGCATACTATTTGAATTCAATTTTAAGATAAAGTTAGCAAAAAGAATTATTTTTGACTATTGTTACATTACATCTTTCAGTAGAAATGTTTCAGTATATAAGAGTCTAATTGTTACTGCATCTCATAATTTTAATAGCTTGGTAGAGGTATATTAAAGATATCTTGGAGATAGTGAGTGTTCCTTGATCCCAAACTATTTCTGGGTACCCAGGTTGAGAAGGCGGCCAAAAGTACATTGCACGCTTATCCCTTGTGTATCAGCTACCACTATTTCTAAATTAGTGGTCTTGGAAATAATTCCTCCTGCTTTAGTTACATAAAAAAGAGTTCTCTACTGCGACAACTTAAACCAGGGGTCTTCAAACTTGGCCCTTTTATGCCTTGTGGACTTCAATTCACAGAATTCCTCAGCTAGGCACGCTGGCTGAGGAATTCTGGGAGTTGAAGTCCACAAGTTTAAAAAACCCCTGACTTAAACATTTCAAAGTCACTTAGCAAGCAAAACAAATGCTGATATCACTATTGCAATATACTGGCACAAGGTAAGATGTTGATTTTAATCCTGAGAATCCTAAACAGCTTGGGACTGAACGAAGGGTTTGGTTACCAGGAATGATGTCCTCAGTTTCTGAAGAATATTTTGCAGAAACCAGAAGAAGGTTGTTCCCACATTTTGAAAGGCACTGCCTCAAGATTGCTCTGCTATGCCCACTTTTACTATGTCCATTATAAACCAGGCCTTGCATTATGAATAAGAAAATAAAAATATTGGATGTTGTTATTACATTTCATGCTTGGTTTTCTTTTATTGCAAAGCATGCTTTTATTTACAATATTAATATTTTATTTTATTTAAAATACTTTGAACTTGCCCAATATTCCAGGGTCTTAGGGGGCTGGTTACCATTTTATCTATTTATTCAAACATTTGTCCATCACCCTATCTAAAAGGCTCAGGACTGTTTACAATATCAATAAAGTAAAAGTAAAACCAGCAACAGTAAACAAACAATCCAAAAAATAGAAGCATGATCCACAAAATGTTGCAAAGGCAGCCCAAGTCCATCATCGATACTCATGGGTTCTTACATTTTAAAATAAAAAAAAATAAAAAATGTTTTTAAGGTTTTTACGAAAAGTAAGGAAAGCAATAAAGATCAGTAACTAATGCAACAAGTGAAGTTGTTACTATAATACTACTGAATACACCCCTCCCTGTTAGCAACTGGGCTCCTGCATCCTGAACCAACCATAAGTTTCAAGTCATTTTCCGGGGCAGCCTTGTGTGAAGCTCCTTGCAATAAGCCTAAGCATCTAAGCCTGATGTGATAAGGACATGAATCAGTATCACTGTCCTTTGTTGTGACTGCCCTGTTGCAACAATTGCCCTCTAGATAAAATGGTGGAAACATCTTCATTATAATCTTCTGTACTTCTCATGGTGTTTTAAATGTATCTCTCCCAGATGCATTTGGAGGAATACCAAATTAGCACAGGAAGAAACAGAGCGTGAATTCTGGATCAAAATCATTAAATCATTGGAAAATCACATCCTTATTGATCACTTCCACTCTTTATATTGTTATTATTGTTTCAGTGGTCTTGTTCCACATAACAACCTCCTTTCCCTCTGCTTCCTGGCTGTGGGGAGCAATCCCCAGCCAAGCAAATCAAACCTTGCATGGATCTCTTCCTGTCTACTATTTGTTATGAGCATCATCTTCTGTTTGGCAATTGTCCCAGCTGTTTGAAAATGGCTCTCTAAATCAGCTGGATTGCATAAAAGTTAGTCATGGCAATTAAAATAATCTCAATGAACATCAGCCAGGTGCCTTGTGTTTCTAAAAAGTCACAATACATTATATATTTAAAAGCCTAAAAGGTAGCTTTTTTGACAGGAACCAGGTAATGAATTTTCCTGTATATTGTTCCTATTCAGTAATTACAGCTTGTGAGGTTTATTTTTTGCTACAACAATTACTAAAGTCATGGCTGATAACTTTGCCCACAAGTGTGTTTTTCCTTCACCCCCTCCCCCTTTTTCTCTCTCTGTGAGTGTGTGTGTAAGGATAGTTATTGATCTCTTGCTGAGCTGAGATTTCAGTTTTATGCCAGATAGCTTGATTAATGGGTTGGTTTCTGTAAGTGGACTGAATGGGGATAGGAAACCCATGCAGCCCATACTGCCAGCCCTAAATCCGTCAAGACACATATCTCATTATGAAATAGTTATCAAGTATACATGAAAAATTAATTGGGCTCAGTTTGATTCTGAAAAGACTCAGCCTTCTACTTGGCGGTCCCCCCAATCTTTCCAGATGTTGAGCACTAGCCCCTTGAGGAAGAGTGAAGGGAGATGTATTAATACGTTGTATTGATTAGATCAAGACCCCTGACAGTTATTTGCAGAGATACCATCTGGCGGCTGTTCGAATTCCTTCACCCAAAACAGGACGTGACATGTTATTAATCTCAACTCTCTAAGTATAGACAGTTGCCTTTTCTGCTAAACCGCATTTTACTATTCCGTAGGAGATGAATGCAGACCTGAAGGGTGCTGAAATTAAGGTTATTACACAAATTGAGCCATATGGTCCAAATATTTCAGCAAGAAAATTGCCAAGCAATAAAAATTGCTCCTGCCTTCCTAATGGTGTAAATTACAGTTTAACCATGGCTCTAATGATGTCCTTCTGCCGCGCTTAACTACTGTTACATGAAGGACATTGTTTTAAAAATATAAAAAACAACTAAATGCCAGCAGCGTGTTTTACAATCTGTTAGTGTGTCATTAAGAACACTGTCAGAATTATATAAACATAATGGTAGGCAACCTAGCATACAAAAGAACAAGTATGGAAATGGAGCATCTTGAAAAAAAACTTCATAGTGTCAAGAGCTCTTTCAATTTCTGGATCTGTTCCAATCCATAGTTATTGTTGCTTACCATGTTATTCAATGAACCTTTTAAAAAAAAGCAAAAAAAAGCATTCATTATGCAAATTTACATGGAAGCAATAGTCCAAAAGTCTGTATAGAAAAGGTCACCATGTGTATTCTAGATTTTGCCTCTACTTTTTCTTGTTCATATTTCTACATTGGTTCATCTGTAGGATCTTAGTAGCTGTAGAGAGGTCCCATTTATAAAGAGGAAAGGAAAGAAAGGAGAAAGGAAAGGAAAAGAAAGAAAGGGGAAAGGAAAGGAAAGGAAAGGAAAGGGGAAAGGGAATAAAAGGAGAAAGGGAATAAAAGGGGAAAGGAAAGGAAAGGAAAGGAAAGGAAAGGGGAAAGGAAAGAAAGGGGAAAGGGAATAAAAGGAGAAAGGGAATAAAAGGGGAAAGGAAAGGAAAGGAAAGGAAAGGAAAGGAAAGGGGAAAGAGAATAAAAGGGGAAAGGGAATAAAAGGGGAAAAGAAAGGAAAGGAAAGGAAAGGAAAGGGGAAAGGAAAGGAAAGGAAAGGAAAGGGGAAAGGGAATAAAAGGGGAAAGGAAAGGAAAGGGGAAAGGGAATAAAAGGGGAAAGGGAATAAAAGGGGAAAGGAAAGGAATGGGGAAAGGAAAGGAAAGGAAAGGAAAGGAGGGAAAAGTGAATAAAAGGGGAAAGGGAATAAAAGGGGAAAGGAAAGAAAGGGAAAAGAAAGGAAAAGAAAGGAAAGGAAAGAGGAAAGGGAATAAAAGGGGAAAGGGAATAAAAGGGGAAAGGAAAGGAAAGGAAAGGAAAGGAAAGGAAAGGAAAGGGGAAAGGAAAGGAAAGGGGAAAGGGAAGAAAAGGGGAAAGGAAAGAAAAGGGGAAAGGAAAGAAAGGGAAAAGAAAGGAAAAGAAACGAAAGGAAAGGGGAAAGGGAATAAAAGGGGAAAGGAAAGGAAAGGGGAAAGGGGAAAGGGGAAAGGAAAGGAAAGGAAAGGGGAAAGGAAAGAAAGGGGAAAGGAAAGGAAAGGGGAAAGGGAATAAAAGGGGAAAGGAAAGGAAAGGAAAGGAAAGGAAAGGAAAGGGGAAAGGAAAGAAAGGGGAAAGGAAAGGAAAGGAAAGGGGAAAGGAAAGAAAGGGGAAAGGGAATAAAAGGGGAAAGGAAAGGAAAGGAAAGGAAAGGGGAAAGGGAATAAAAGGGGAAAGGAAAGGAAAGGAAAGGAAAGGAAAGGAAAGGAAAGGAAAGGAAAGGAAAGGGGAAAGGAAAGAAAGGGGAAAGGAAAGGAAAGGAAAGGAAAGGGGAAAGGAAAGAAAGGGGAAAGGGAATAAAAGGGGAAAGGAAAGGAAAGGAAAGGAAAGGAAAGGAAAGGAAAGGAAAGGGGAAAGGAAAGAAAGGGGAAAGGAAAGGAAAGGAAAGGAAAGGGGAAAGGAAAGAAAGGGGAAAGGGAATAAAAGGGGAAAGGAAAGGAAAGGAAAGGAAAGGGGAAAGGGAATAAAAGGGGAAAGGGAATAAAAGGGGAAAGGAAAGGAAAGGAAAGGGGAAAGGAAAGAAAGGGGAAAGGGAATAAAAGGGGAAAGGGAATAAAGGGGAAAGGAAAGAAAGGGAAAAGAAAGGAAAAGAAAGGAAAGGAAAGAGGAAAGGGAATAAAAGGGGAAAGGGAATAAAAGGGGAAAGGAAAGGAAAGGAAAGGAAAGGGGAAAGGAAAGGAAAGGGGAAAGGGAAGAAAAGGGGAAAGGAAAGAAAAGGGCAAAGGAAAGAAAGGGAAAAGAAAGGAAAAGAAACGAAAGGAAAGGGGAAAGGGAATAAAAGGGGAAAGGAAAGGAAAGGAAAGGGGAAAGGGGAAAGGAAAGGAAAGGAAAGGACAGGACAGGACAGGACAGGAAAGGAAAGGAAAGGAAAGCAAAAGAAAGGAAAGGAAAGTCTCTAACTGTCCATTTCAAGGATTACTATGGATTGGGTACAATATGTAACATTGTCACAGGCTCCGACTAATGAAGCACTTCAAAGAACTTTCAGGCATGTTTCCTAAAGTCTTTATTACAGAGCTACAATTTTGCCGATCGCCATCATGGACATGTTGATGCCAGAATCTGACTTCCTGTCGCTGGCATCAACCTTTTCTTGCTAAACCCCTCCCTTGTCTTGCAGTCACAAGTCACATTATCCAATTAGTGTTAAGGTCAAAAGTTTACTTCCTCTTTCTTTCCCGGGCTTTTTCTCCCCCCCACTCTAAGCTGTGTATTAACCCAGTAATTACCAGACAGTTTTGCATATTGTCAAAGCAAGAATATACAGTATTTACAGCATTGACATCCGGCCCCCCTTACAAGAAGGACAGATCCTGTAAAGTAAACAAAAGCATATGTTAAGGGTTATCTTTCGGTTTGCTGGGGTGTTTCACATGAAACCTTTTGATCAATCTGTCAGCGTTCACTTCACTAGATTTCACCCAGGTGGCTTCAGACAATGGGTATCCCTTCCATTGTACTAAGTACTGTAATTTCCCTCTAAAGATTCTGGAGTCAAGAATACGTTTCACTTCATAGTGGGTCTGCCCTGCCACTACGAGGGGTCCAGGTGCCTTCTTTGGAGGAGGTCTTAAAGTGGAGCCCTGATAAGGCTTCAACAAACTACAATGGAAAACTGGGTGAATTTTCCCTAACAGTTTAGGGAGTTTTAGTTGTACTGTGACTGGGTTGATGACCTTTACTATGGGGAAAGGCCCCAAGAATTTTGGTCCCAATCTCTTGCTGGGCAATTTGAGGTGTAGATATTTAGTTGATAGATAGACCTTTTCCCCAACTTGGAATGTTCTTTGGGGAGCCCTCTTTTTATCAGCCTGCTTTTTATAGGTTTCAAAAGTCTTTTTAAAAGCAGTTTTTGTGTTTTTCCAAACTTCTTCCCACCCTCTCACCCATTGATCAAGTGTCTGTGAAGCGGAGGGCAACTGAGGATATTCAGGTATTGGGTTAAATTCTTTCCCTGTGGCTACTTTGAAAGGCGTGTAGCCAGTGCTGCTGTGCACGGAATTATTGTACGCCACCTCCGCAAAAGGGAGGAGATCAGTCCAGTTCGTCTGTTGGTAAGAAATGTAGCACCTAAGATATTGCTCCACCATTTTGTTAGCAGCTTCAGCGGCCCCATTGGTGGCTGGATGAAAAGCAGATGATAACCCTTGAGATGATCCAATCAATGTAAGGAAATTTCTCCAAAACTTCGCTGTGAATTGCACCCCCCTGTCTGAGATTATTCGCTTAGGGGCACCATGCAGCTGGTAGATATGTTTCAGGAACAACTTGGCCAGGCGTTGGGCAGATAGGAGTCCTTTGCAGGCGATGAAATGAGCCTGTTTCGAGAACAGGTCTATCACAGTCCAGATGACAGTATTTCCCCTACTTTCAGGTAGGTCCACTATAAAGTCCATAGCTATTTCTTCCCAGGGTTGAGAAGGATCTGCCACGGGTTGCAGTAACCCAGGAGTTTTCCCCGGGATTCTTTTCATTGTGGCACATACAGTACAACTTTTTACATAGTTTTCCACATCCTTTTTCAGCCCCGGCCACCAGAATTGCCGGCGGGTGAGGTGTAGGGTTTTCAAATATCCAAAGTGTCCAGCCTGCTTTACATCATGGCTGTGGTTGAGAGCATTAAGACGGAGCGCTTCTGGCAAATATAACTTCCCCCCTTTGTAAGCCAAGCCATCCCTGCATGTTAGGGACGCTTGATTATCTTTGAACCATTGGTCAGTGAGGAGCTCTCATTTTATTTTCTTCACTCCAGGGTCATCCGGATTCGGGACCCTGCGAGGTGTAAGTTGAGCAACGGTTTGTGGATTGGGAATAATTGCCTCATTAACCTGCTCTCGTTCACTTTTGTACTGGGGTAACCGGGATAGCGCATCAGCTAGAAAGTTCTTTCCTCCTGGTATGTACTTTAGAGTGAAGTTGAAGCGGTTAAAGTACTGTGCCCACCGTACTTGCTTTGGTGACAATTTGCGGGGAGTTTTCAGTGCCTCTAGGTTCTTGTGATCTGTCCATACCTCAAATGGCACCTTGCTCCCTTCTAGATAGTGTCGCCAGTTCAATAGCGCCCACCTAATTGCGAAGGCCTCTTTCTCCCAGATTGCCCATCTTCGCTCGCTCTCAGTGAATTTCTTAGAGGTGTAGGCACAGGGTTGCAGGATCCCATTTTTGTTCTTTTGAAGTAACACTGCTCCAACCGCCACATCGCTGGCATCGGCTTGAATCACAAAGGGTTCCCCTGGGCAGGGGTGCTTTAGAACCGGTTCAGCGGCAAATAGTCTCTTTAAATTCTCAAAAGCTGTTTGACAGCTCATTGTCCATGCTAGTGGTTGGCCCGGTCGTGGCTTCCCTCCTCCTTTGCCTGTTTTGAGTAGTTCTGTAAGACGAAGGGCAATCTCGGCAAAAGAAGGAATGAATTGACGATAAAAGTTGGCAAAACCCAGAAAGCTCTGGAGCTGTTTGCGAGTCCTTGGGGGCTGCCATTCGATTATAGTTTTCACCTTGGCCAGATCCATTTCAATACCCTCATTGGAAATTCGGTAGCCAAGATAGTCTAATTGGGTTTGGTGAAATTCACATTTTGACAATTTGACATAAAGCTTGGCATTCAATAGTTTCTTTAACACTTCTCTCACTAGCTTTGTGTGATCAGTCATGTTTGTGCTGTATACCAGGATATCATCAAGATACACCAAAACCCCTTTGTACAAGTGATCATGTAGAACCTCATTAATCAACTGCATAAATACAGCTGGGGGCCCCTGTAGTCCAAATGGCATGACTTTGAACTGATAACTCCCCATAGGACAGTTGAAGGCAGTTTTCCACTCGTCTCCCTCTTTTATTCTCACCCGGTAGTATGCCTCTCTTAGGTCTAACTTAGTGAAGACACTCCCCTTAGCCAGGTGGGTCAATAAATCCTTTAGGAGGGGGAGGGGGTATTTATTTTCCACACTTACAGCATTGAGTCCCTTGTAGTCTACGCAGAGACGAAGAGACCCATTTTTTTTTCTCTTTGAACAACACAGGAGCTCCCACGGAAGATTTGGCCTGTTCAATAAACCCCCTCGCTAGGTTCTTGTTCACATATCACTGCATCTCCTCCATTTCGAGGGGGGACATAGCATACATCCTCAGACGTGGGAGTTTGGCTCCGGGCACCAGTTCGATGGAGCAGTCATTGGGTCTGTGAGGGGGTAGGGCATCACATTCTTTTTCACTGAACACCTCTGCCAGGTCCAAGTATTCTTTGGGGATAACTGGTTCACCTGGAGTCAGTGAGGCGGCCATGAGCGCTCGCTCATTGGGTGGCCTAAGATGCCCAGTA